ACCAAGTGCCAGGAAAGATTTAAGAGTTAACTAGAGCTAAGGAGAGATATGATTCTGGTATAATTGAGCAACATGAAGAACTTTCTGCACATGCTAAAAATATGTTATGGTATTTTTTATAAAGCCCGAAAATGTAAAAAACAAACAAAACAAACAAAAAAACACAAAAAACTTCAGAATGTGAAAGGGAAAATGAGAAATGAGACATAAACAACTAAAAATATTTTTTGAAATTAAATGAGGTTTAACTTATAACTAAATGTGCATTTGACTTCTTAGAAAGAGAGCAGTCAAATCCAACTTTGCTGGTCTGAGAAAAATTGCTTGCTGTTTTCTCACATGGCAGAAGTTGGAGCATGAACTTTCTGGTGCTATTTTTATTATAAGGACACTAGTGCCATGAATGGAGACTCCAATCTACCAATCATCTCCCCAAAGTCCCACCTCTAAATTCCATAATGTTGGTTATTAGGTTTCAACATACGAATTTTCAGGGGCAATAGACATTCAGTCTAAAGCAAGAATATTCAAATGTTTTCATATCTCCATCTGAAGAGATTGTTGACTGCCAAACTTGAATTTGCAAAAACATCCTCATTCTGTCATGGAAATTATTTTTTATTCCCTATATTTTATTGAATTTATTGTGACATTGGTAATAAAATTATATAGGTTTCAAGTGTACAATTCTATAATATATCATTTGTATATTGCATTGTGTGTTCACCACCCCAAGTCAAGACGCCTTCCATCACTATTTATCCTCCCTTCAACCTCTCCTACCTCCTCTCACCACCTTTTCCCTCCCGAAAACCATCACACTATTATCTGTCTATCAGATGTATTTTTTTGCTTACATTTTTCTACCTATTTTATCAAGCCTCTTTTGCCTTTGACAGCTGTCAGTCTGTTCTATCAATGAATTTATTTCTATTTTGTTAATTGTGTTCATTGGATTCCACATATAAATGAAATCATATGGTATTTTTCGTTCTCTGACTGGCTTATTTTACTTAGCTTTGTATAGATTTCTTAAAAAATTATATCTTAACTGTTTATTGCCTACTGCTAGTAATGAAGTATTTTGGTTAGTTTATTGTTACATATCAAACTATTCCTAATCTTTGAAGCATAACACAAAATCAATTGTACATTACATTTTTTAAGTCAAGAATTGGGGTTGTGCACAGAAGAGATAACTATCTCTGCTCCACAATGGAGGGTGACTAAAATGGGATGACTTACCAAAAAGCTTCCAGCAAACAAAAGCCCAGGGCCAGATGGCTTCACAGGAGAGTTTTACCAAACATTCAAGGAAGAACTAAAAACTATCCTCCTCAGACTATTCAAAAAAATCCAAGAGGAAGGAACACTTCCAAATTCCTTCTATGAAGCCAGCATCACCCTAATACCAAAACCAGATAAAGACAACTCAATGAAAGAGAATTACAGGCCAATATCCCTCATGAACATAGATGCCAAAATCCTCAACAAAATTCTAGCAAATCGACTCCAGAAGAACATCACAAAGATCATACACCACGACCAAGTAGGATTTATTCCAGGAATGCAAGGATGGTACAATATCCGCAAATCAATAAACGTGATACATCACTTAAACAAATTGAAAGATAAAAATCATATAGTCATATCAATTGATGCAGAAAAAGCATTTGATAAAATCCAACACCCTTTTCTGATAAAAACTCTTAACAAGGTAGGAGTACAAGGATCATACCTCAACATAATAAAAGCTCTATATGATAAACCCACAGCCAACATTATACTCAATGGGCAAAAACTAAAACCATTCCCTCTAAGAACAGGAACAAGACAGGGATGCCCACTCTCACCACTCCTGTTTGACATAGTACTGGAAGTACTAGCCATTGCAATTAGACAAGAGGAGGAAATAAAAGGCATCCAAATTGGAAAAGAAGAAGTAAAGTTATCCTTATTTGCAGATGACATGATATTGTACATAAAAAACCCAAAAGACTCCATTAAAAAACTAATTGACTTAATAAATGAATTTGGCAATGTAGCAGGATACAAAATTAATGTCAAGAAATCCATGGCTTTTCTATACACCAACAGAGAAACTGCAGAAACAGAGACTAAAAAAGCAATTACATTTACCATCGCACCAAAAAAATTAAGATACCTAGGAATAAATTTAACTAAGGAAGTAAAGGACCTATATGCGGAAAACTACACAACACTGAAAAAAGAGATAGAGGAAGATGTAAGGAGATGGCAGAACATACCATGTTCATGGATTGGTAGGATCAACATCATCAAAATGTCCATACTTCCTAAAGCAATCTATAGGTTCAATGCACTCCCCATTAAAATACCAAGGACATATTTCACCGACCTAGAAAGAACTCTCCAAAAGTTCATTTGGAACAATAAAAGACCCCGAATAGCCACAGCAATCCTGAGAAAGAAGAGTAAAGTAGGAGGGATCTCAATACCAGATTTCAAACTATATTACAAAGCCACTGTTCTCAAAACAGCCTGGTACTGGCACAAGAACAGACATATAGATCAATGGAATCGAATTGAGAACCCAGATATCAACCCAAATCACTATGCTCAATTAATATTTGACAAAGGAGGCACGAATATACAATGGAGTCAAGACAGTTTCTTCAATAAATGGTGTTGGGAAAATTGGACAGACACATGCAAAAGAATGAAACTAGATCACCAACTTAACACCATTCACAAAAATAAACTCAAAATGGATACAGGACTGAAACATCCGATGGGAAACCATAAAAATACTAGAAGCATCCACAGGCAGCAAAATCTCAGATGTATGCCAAAAGAACTTCTTCACTGATACTACCCCTAGGGCAATGGAAGCTAAAGAGAAAATAAACAAATGGGACTACATCAAAATAAAAAGCTTTTTTACAGCAAAAGAAACCATGAACAAAACAACAAGAAAACCCACAGTGTGGGAGAACATATTTGCAAATGATACCACTGATAAAGGTTTAATCTCCAACATCTACAAACAGCTTATACAACTAAATAAAAGGAAGATAAATAATCCAATTAAAAAATGGGCAATGGACCTAAATAGAACATTTTCAAAAGAAGACAGAAGGAAGGCCAAAAGGCACATGAAAACATGCTCAAAGTCACTAATTGTCCGAGAGATGCAAATCAAAACAACCATGGGGTAACATCTCACACCTGTCAGAATGGCCAACATCAACAAATCAACAAACGACAAGTGTTGGCGAGGTTGCGGAGAAAAAGGAACCCTCGTGCACTGCTGGTGGGAATGCAGACTGGTGCAACCACTGTGGAGAACAGTGTGGAGTTTCCTCAAAAAACTGAAAATGGAACTCCCATTTGACCCAGTAATCCCACTTCTAGGAATATATCCCAAGAAACTAGAAACACCAATCAGAATGGATATATGCACCCCTATGTTCATAGCAGCACAATCTACAATAGCCAGAATTTGGAAACAGCCTAAGTGTCCGTCAGCAGATGATTGGATCCAAAAACTATGGTACATCTACACAATGGAATACTATGCTGCCATAAAAAAGAAGGAATTCTCATCATTTGCAGCAACTTGGATGGAATTGGAGAACATCATGCTGAGTGAAATAAGCCAATCAATGAAAGAGAAACACCACATGACCTCACTCATTTGTGGATAATAAAGAGCATTATTAACTGATGAACCAAAAGATAGATATAGAGACAGTATATCAACAAGTAGACTGTCAAATTACAGCGGGGAGGGGAGGAAGATCTGGGGGAGATAATAGATCAACCGAAGGACTTTTATACAATACATGCATATAAGTACAACCAATGGACACAAAACTCTGGGGAGGGAGGGGATATGTGGGAGGGAGGAAGGGGGGCAAAAAAAATCAATAAAATGTATTAAAAAAATAAATAAATAGGAAAAAAAATAAAATGGGATGACTTAAATGTTTGGAGATGGCTGGGATGACTCAAATGAGGCCCAAAACTGTAATGAACAAAATGATTTCTTCACATTCATATTTAGCACCTGAACTACAGTGGCTGGAACAGCTGGGTCTCTCTGTCCTTTCTATGCAGTCTTTCCACACAGCTATCTTTAACTTTCTTATAGCAAGGCAGTCTCCTAGTAGTCAGACTTTTTTCAATGCATCTGGTCTCCTCCCCCTCCCCACAGTGAGTGCAAAACATAAGCTGCAAAATTTGGTTACAGAGGGCCTCCCATAATTAGTGTGGTGGAGTACTACATAAGGGTATGAATATGAAGAAATATGAATATTCATTGCAGATATCTTTGTAGACTAACTACTACATATAAAATTGCTGAAAACAAAATACAGCTACTGCTGGTAGAGTTATCACCCTTATTGGTTGTCTTGAGCTTTTTGTTTTGGAGACAAAATATTTGGCATCAACTGTTATCCATATTGTGTAATTGTTTTTGTTTTTTAAAGTGTAGAATCAATTTAAATGAGTTCAGATTCAAAATATTGCCTCTAATTTCTTTGAAAATATGATTTATACTTTAAATTTTCTAAGCCTACCTGATTGAATAAATTTGTTTATATTTACTGTTTTATCCCACCAGAATTTTATAGATACAGCAGTAAAATGTTGTTATATTTATTCATGCTTATTATTTAAAAAAAGAATAGTTGTCAAATAGTAACTCAATAAATTAATGTTGAAATGATTATCAGAATTTTCAATGTGCTTAAATATCTATAAAGGCTGACAGCTTCTTGCTTTAGAGCAAGTTGACTTTATTCTGCACCTGGATGTGCCTTGTTTTAAAATATAATGAAAACAACTCTGTTGCCAGGTGCAGCAGGTTCACAGAAGCCTGAAAGTGTTCCCAAAGCAACATAATGTTAGTGTGACTTCACTAGATAGTTGAAATAATGTATTTCTAAATTGGCTGCATTAAGCAATTATTCAGATCATTGCTAAAATCCTGTAATTTGCTTTCTTCCTTTCAGTCCCAGCGGCGTGTCACATTTCACCTACCAGAAGGCTCTCAGGAAAGCAGCAGTGATGGCGGACTGGGAGACCATGATGCAGGCAGTCTTCCCAGCACATCCCATGCTCTGCCCCTGGGTTATCTTCAAGAGGTGTATTTTGATCATGCTGCACCCAACAACCGCACTGAAGGGGATGGCAACTCTGATCCTGAATCCAGTAAGTTATACCTCTCTTTTCCTGAAGTATTAATGGGTTTATTGTTTGCAAGTCAAACAACTGTAGCCATAATAACACAGGCTATTTATTAATGTTAATATGCATTACACATTTTAAAAGGTAAAAATACTCAATTATCTAGGAGGCCTATATACATCCATTTATAGTATTTGAAATGTGTGATCATATCTACTTTGAATAAAACTATTTATGAAATTTAGCAGTCATTTATTTTGTTTAGTCATAGCTAGTTTTTTTCTTTATATCTGCACATATATGTATTTATATGTACATAGCAAGTCATTTTACTTTATTCATTTAATTTATTTGCATATATATATAAATTATTTTTATAATTCATGAAAATTATTTTAGGTCTATTAGGAACCATATAAAATTAATTTTGAAGGTAATAAGAAATCCTGACTCCAATGCATAGTAGTTGGTTTTAGATTTTCAATGATGTACAGAACACATGTCTTATGCCATGTTACTATTTATAAAGAGTCAGATTTGGTCTCCATACTAAAGGCATAAAAGGCTATATTTTATAAAATCTAAAGATGTTGAATTCTTAAAAAGGATCATGAAGCTAAATGGAGAACTTCGTTAAATTTATTACCTTTAAATGTATTGAACATACTGCTTCCTGACAATTGTAGGAAATACAAAATTTGGTAAGGTTATAGATATCTCAAAATATTCTGATTTCCAATAATCATAATTTGCTCCAGGTATGTTTCCTATACATAAAAGTGTATACGTACAAAAGAGCATACCATATATGAGAGAAGAGACATAGGTATAAAACAATATAAAGAAAAGAGACCTAGTAATGAGAGTAAACATATGAAATAAATTAATAGAAAATAGAAATTTTGAAAAGCTATTTTGAACACTAAGGTTTGATTGTGTGCATAATTCAAATAAAGCATGTTGTTCTGAGAACAAAATGGCTTCCCCATCATTATGTTTTAATTCTCTATTTTTGAGATTCCAAAAAATAAGGGAAATCAAGTGGTTGAACATCAAGATGTAATCTAAATACACAGAACCAATGATAACAACATTAACTGTTTTCTCTCTATAAGAGTAGATATTGGATATTAAAGGTGTTTCAGTATAAAGACTTTATAGACTTTTAGTCACCATTCCAGAAAGTCCAAAACATCTGCTATGCCTATATTCAATTTTATACTTACAATCATTTCTCACTGTTCATTCTGAGAATGAAAAATTTTATAACATGCAACACTAATTTACCTTTCATTTACTGTGTACATGCGGGCATAATGATTTCTAGTTGTGACTATATCCACTACCTGAATAAACTCAGAGTCAATCTCTAGTAAGAATATGATTATAAGTAACAGATATGTATTAAACTAAGTATTTTTCTCTTTTTTTTTTACTCCATACATTATTGTTTTAATTGTAGGCCTATAACTTCCTGCTTAACAGATAATATAAAGTTGAAATTAGCATCATTTCTATAAACTAAAGAGAGCTGATTCCTTTGAACATGCTACGTTACTAAGAACTTTTAGAGATTGCAAAGCCAACAATGAAAAAACAAACTAAGAGTAAGCATTCACAGTGTGGATCTACACTAAAATAAAATTTCAAACTGAATGAGACCAAAATGGGATGTTATTAATAATAAAAAGGCCATATTTGGTATATGCCAGAAATTATGAAACATTTACAATATCCAATACAGGTTTATTGATCCCAATTACATATGATAAATTATATATAATAATAATAGCTGTTTTAAAAATACTCACATGATGAGTTTTTTACAGGACCCTATTTTATTTACATTTAAGAGTGGACAGATTTCCCTGACCGGTTTTGTTCAGTGGATAGAGCGTCAGCCTCTGGACTGAAGGGTCTCAGCTTCAATTACAGTCAAGGACATGTACCTTGGTTGCTGGCACATCCTCTGTAGGGGGTGTACAAAAGGCAGCTTATTGATGTTTCTAACTCTCTATCCCTCTCCCTTCTTCTCTGTAAAAAGCAATAATATATATACATATATATATATATATATATATATATATATATATATATATTTTTTTTTTTTTTTTTTTTTAAAGAGTGTAAGGGTTAGCAACAATCCATGTACTAATATAGTTAAGAGCTATTTTTTAATAGCTTATTTCTACCTAGGACTAAGCATTTCTTTCTTTTAATTATATTGGCACTGTTATTTTGACCATTAAATATTTTGTTCATAATTACAGGATGAGGCAATGGCAAAATGTAAGTTAACAAAGTTATTTGTTAATTAGGATTTATTTTAAAATCGGGATAGCTGTAGGCACTAATGATAGTCATACAAATAATATATTTTTCTATTTGCTATTTTAATAAACTTATGCAAAGGGCATAGGTAATTAATAATTAATGTCCATTTCTGTATATGTCTAAAATATTAATGGGTCAATTTTTAAGTTTATTTTTACTCTGAGTAATATCAACTACCTATTCTCCTACTGGACCTAAAACTTCCCTCTAAACTATGTTCCAAAATAATATTTTGATTAGTTATTTCATTTTGGAAAATAAAGGATCTTATTATTATAAGTGTAAGAAGCATAATATTTCACTTTTAAAAGAAGTTGTATTATCCTAAAATGGCATATTAGTAAGATTTTTATACAGTGTATGTGTGTGTTTTGTTTTGAGTTAAAAGGAAAAAATAGCTGATACAAACTTTGCCATAGGAAAATAATTCTCTTAGATTAATACAGATGATAAGATATATTGATTCTTAAAAAAGAAACTCTATAGCTCTGAAACAATACATAATAATAGAGTTTGTGATATGGAGCAAATGCAAATAAACTGTGAAGTGTTAGCAAATAGTTCCACAAATAGGAATGTAAACTGCTGGAAGAAATAAATGTTGTCCTTAAGCAACTGAATTAATTTATGCAGATCCCATTTCATATTGTGAAATGCATTATAGCCTCAATCTGCTTTCTTTTCTGCTAATGAATAGCCAAAATAGTACATAGTTCTGAAAATTCCTTGTAACTTCACAAAACAAATAAAATATTTTATTAATATAATTTCCCCAAAATGTGCTAAAGGGATTTATCATTGCTACTTTAACATATAGTTCCCAGGTTGATAAAAATCTGCTGATTAGATGAAAAAATTATGCTATTCATTCTCTAGAGTGTTTTGCCAAGAATATTAATTTTCTTTAAAAAACACGCAAATGTAACCCAATTGTTTATTTCTCTTTTAGGAGACAAGTTTAATAAGACATTCTGTCTTATTCCACTTGAAAGCTTTCTGAATTCTGAAATTTCACAATTGCAATCTTCTGACTTTAGCCTTTGGTATGAAAGTCACTTAATGCCATCCTATGAGTTTTTGTCTTTCTTGGCTAACAGGTTCTGTCCCAGAGCTTTCCTCCCATGACAGCCCCATCAAATAAGGTGCATCATTTCCAATGGACCCTGCTCTTCAAAGCTAGCTATTTTGGTAGAAACAAACAAACAGAAGTCCAGTTCATAAACAGAGTTATTGATTGGTTCCAGGTTATTGTGGATACTCTAACAAGTAATGTTTTTGCATTTTCAAAGGCTATTGTGGAGATATCCAAGGGTTTGGCCCTAGTAGAGAACAGGGCATTTTATATATTAAGATATGGTATAAGTTGAGAGATTTGAGGACAGTGTGATCCTCTTGGGAATAGTCTAAAAACACTAATTACATATGGCTCAATATTCATATCTACTTATTCCATAAGTAGCATTAGGTAAAATCTAATTTATGAAAAGAAGAGTTAAACATGCTTCCAAGCTTTTTAAACAAAACAAAAAAAACACATTGCTCTGATATTATAATTCAGGCTAGGTTCTGACACATGGAAATATTAGTAAAGTTTACCATGCTAAATGTCAGAGATTTTTTGAATGTTTCATATATATGAAATCAGGTGTGTGTGTGTGTGTGTGTGTGTGTGTGTGTGTGTTCTCTTAAATAGAGAATGCATTGCCACTCTCTCACTATGGTTGATTTAAAAAAGGGTACCTTCTAAATTTCTAAAAAGCAATTGGCATATTATAATTTCAATGATCATAGATAACATGCAAGATTTTTTGGAAGAGAAATGGTGAAAGAGAATGTTTTTAAACAAATTCAAATCAGTAAGTCAGTCTTCAGTTTACCAGCCATAAATCAGTTCATTTTCAGAGAGAATTATCCTAACTGAAGAGGGGAAAGGTCCTAGTTTAAGTTATGTTTTAATTTTCTTTAACTGTCTTTCATATACATTTTAAAACCTTTTCCTGGATATGGTAATTTCACAAATTAAGTCACTTTATCTAAAAATGTTACAGTTTGTCTAGTGTCTAAAATTTGAGGTTAAAGTAATATTTATGTGGAAAATTTTATCATCTTTGAAAAAAGATATTTTCTTTCACATCACAAATTTCTATGATGCAAAAGAAAAAAATGAGTTCTAAGAGTATTTAGGACTAAAGAAGTTCTACATTTAAAATAAAAAGGAATTATTTTTCATTAATGGAAAAATTATAAATCTCTCTGCCAAACTATAGCTCAGGTTAACATCTCTTTGACATTCATTTATCTTTTGCTAGATTAGGTTTGCTTAGCACTTTAATATGGTACTAATTAATTCACAAAAGGAAGTAATTAATCTTTCCCTGACAACACAATTTGATCCTCTGTCAGTAATTAAATTACATGTTATAAAAAGTGGAAGACCAATTTGATTGACTAGAGTACTACTTAGAAAAATGATAAATTTTGTCTTGATCTGTGGAGACTATTAGTATGGGATAATATTAATTATTAGTTGAATGTTTGATTAGTAAATATATAATTCTGAATGTAGACAATTGGTAAAATTTTAAAAAGAATACTATGAAACTTTAAAGAGAATAACCTATTGGTTGCCTCTTAGTTGGGAGATGATATGTGCAAAGAGTAGCTCCCAAAAAGGTTTAATATCCAAAATATATAAAGAACTCATAAAAATCAACACCAAAGAAACAACCCAATTGAAAGGTGGACAGATGACGTGAAAATAAGCCTCTCCCAAGAAGACATATCAACAGCCAACAGATATATGAAAAGATGTTCAATCTCACAATCAGGGACATGCAAATTGAAACTTCAATGAGGTGCCACCTCACACCTATTAGATTGGCTATTATCAACAAGACAAGCAATAACATGTGTTGGAGAGGTTGTGGAGAAAAGAGGATCCTCAATCTCTGCTGAATGGAATGTAGACTGCTACCACCTATATGAAAAGCAGTCTGTTGATTCCTAAGAAAGAAAAAAAAATTAAGAACAGAGCTACCATAAGACTCAGCAATCCCTCTCCTTTATATACTGAAAAAATAAAAAGTATTCACAAAATGATATGCACCCGTATGTTGATTGCATCATTATTCATGGTGGCTAAGACATGTAAACAACCAAAGTGCCTTGCATTAAAGGACTGGATAAATAAGATGTGGTACATAAACACAATAGAATACTACTAAGCCATACAAAAGGATGAAATATTGCCATTTGCAACAACATGGATGGACCTTGGGAATATTACCCTAAGTGAAATAAGTCCTTCAGAAAAAGCTAAGAACGATATGATTTCACTCATGTGGGATATAAAACTGAATCTTGTGAACACAAACAGCAGAGTGGTGTTTGCCAGAGGAAAAAGGATGGAGGGAGCAGAGCAGGGGGTCCTAATATAAAATGACAGGAGAAGGTTTGACTTTGGGTGGTGGGCATACAATGCAATATACAGATCTTGTAACATAGAAACCCACACCAGAAACCTATATGATCATGTTGACCAATGTCACCCCAGTAAATTTAATAGAAAATTTTAAAAAATAAATTAGTCATGGATCATTAAAATACTGCATTTCATAATTAAGAATATTAGAGGTCAGATATCTAAAGGCAAAATAAAGCTGTCCAAATATTTTCCCAAGAACATTTTAATATACATGTACCATTATTTATCTGAAAAATTCATCAAGAAAATACCATTCAGTTTGTTAAAAAATAATAATTGGTTATATATTTTATATGGATGATAGTGCGTACTCTTCCAGAGTATGTCACAGAAAATTACATAAATTCGTTTAGCAAGTGTTACCCATGTAACTGTTCATTGGGTATTTTTATTTGTTGCCAAATACCTAGGTTATTTAACTTCATAAGTCCTCTATATTTCTATAAAATATTTTTGTGGGAACCCAAATATCAATTCCTGTATTACAACAAAAATAAAAGTAAATGCTGTCATTTTGTTAATAATGATATGTGAAACAAATGACAAAAGCACTGAACCTAAGAAAGAAGAGCTATGATCCTTTAGTTGTTAATTATCCATCCAGGCCAATTCTTTCTCTGCTGGCTATGTATTTGAAGTATAGCTTCCTAAAACTGTGTTCATTCTTATCCTGTAATGAACTGTCAGTCCATGAGGGTGGAGGGAGTAAAGTAATTAAATAAAGAATTTGAATCAGCTCAGCAAAATTGAAGGCACATATAGAAAGATAAATAATAAATGTGTCTCTGGAGTGATACTATCAATGGTCATTTCTATCATATTTCACTTGGTGAAAGGGACTGGACTCAATGGTCCTGGATTCTAGAAGTATAAGACAAATCCATGCCAACTTTCATTGCCTTGCCAAGTGACAAGGCTATATAGTTTTATCCTTCTATTGAAATAAAATAAAATTATTCATGTAGAATAATATTTTAAGCTAACAATAATATTAACATCACTTTTTTAAATTCTCAAAGGAAAATCACTGCATTTATGAATACTTTCTCTGACTACCAGCTTATTTCAACCCTTGATGTGTTATATAAATAAAGTGTATATAAACAGATTACAAAGAATGGTTTTTACCCAAGTGTTCGGCTGGCTGGCATTGCTTGGGAAAGAATAAGGCACACTTGATAATAGTTAGTATACTAAATGAGCTTAGACAGATATAAATATTGATCTAGTGGCAGATGATCTGTAATATACATTAATTTTATCACTTAAACTGACATGCTTTTGCAAAGACAGTTTTGCTCTATACAGGCTTATGAAAGTTTAAAATATATATCTTAAGAAAATGGGTGAAACAAATCATACCATACCATCTTGTCATATCCAACTTTCTATACAGGAAATGCAAGCACATCATAGACCAATTGAAAAATAACTTGTAACTTGTGGTATATAGGTTTGTGAAGGCAATGAAGGATTTATACTAGAGATAATCTAAAGAATAAGTCACAAAGTCATAGATCAAAATGAAAATTAAATCTCTAAAGTTGAAAACTTGACATTTATAGGATTCTATTTGGGTGACAGCATCTAAGATGACTATATTTTTAGTATCTTAAATCTAATATAGATTAGATAGATGTTTATCATTCAAAAAGAGGCCACACTGAACAAAGCAATCTCTTATGTTGTCTTTCATTTTCAAAAAGACAAGAGCTAGGAGCTTGGCACAAGCTGGCAATTGAAAGCCAATGCCATAAGGTCTGGAATGTCAGTAAACTTGAATAACTGCCTTCAATGACAGAGAATAGGTGGCCTTTACTTCACAATAACACTTACTTTCCTTTGAAATTTTAATCAGGCTACCTACACCAAAAGTTCATTTGACATTTATATTTCCATTATTTATGAGCCAGGAGGCATTTTTTATGACCTTCTTCTGTCTTCTGCTTCTACTATCAAAATCTCACTCCTCATTTTTCTTTGCCTATAAGACGGTGCCATTTATTCTTCTTTATACTTCTTTGAAATATAATATCAGTCATGCAAAATGCAACTTTTGGGTCACTTGGGGTATTTAGTAACTTTAGTCACAGTCTAATTTTTGTTTTAAAATAATTTATATTTTAATGAATGAAGATAAATATAGGAATACTAGAGGCCCAGTGCACAAAATTCATGCATGGGGTTGGGGGGGAAGTGTCCTTCAGCCCAGCCTTCACCCTCTCCAATCTGGGACGCCTTGAGGGATGTCTGACTACTCATTTAGGCCAGATCCTGGTGGGATCGGGTCTAAACTGGCAGTAGGACATCCCTCTCACAATCCAGGACTGCTGGCTCCCATTGTTCACCTGCCTGCCTTCCTGATTGCCCATAAATGCTTCTGCCTGCCAGCCTGATCACCCCCTAACCACTCACATGCCAGCCTGATTGATGTCTAATTGCACCCCTGCCATACAGTTTGCTGCCAACTTTCCTCCTCTGCTGGCCTTGTCACCCCTAACTGTCCTCTCCTCCCACAGGGTGATCACTTCCAACTGCCTTTCCCTACAGGCCTGCTCCCCCTCATCTGTCCTCCCTTGCAGGCCTGGTGCATCCCCACTGCCCTCCACTGCTGGCCATCTTGTGGTGGCCATTTTGTGTCCACATAGGGGCAGCCACCTTTGACCACATGGGGGCAGTCATCTTGTGTGTTGGACTGATGGTCAATCTGCATATTTCTCTTTTATTATATAGGATAGAGGCCTGATGAACAGGTGGGGGCCAGCTGGTTTGCCCTGAAGGGTGTCCCGGATCAGGGTGGGGGTTCCTTTGGGGTATGGGGTGGCCTGGGCAAGGGGCCTGTGGTGGTTTGCAGGCCAGCCATGCCCCCTGGTGACCCAAGTGGAGGCCTTGGTATCTTGAATTTTTTTATGTTCTACAATCGGAAGTTTGTCACCTCGAGTGGAGCCAAAACCTCCTGCTCACTACCTGGCTGGCAGCCATTTCTGTTTGGATTTGTTTACCTTCTATAATTGAAACTTTGTAGCCTTGAGTGGAGGCTTAGGCCTGTCATGGTGTGCAGAAAGCTTGGCTTCTTCCATTGCCTAAGAAACCCAAGCCTCCCTCCTGCTAGCTGTGGCTATAGCCATCTTGGTTGGATTTATTTGCATACTCACTCTGATTGGCTTGTGGGTGTAGCAGAGTGATGGTTAATTTGCATATTACCCTTTCATTAGGTAGGCTATTTTTTCAATGACACTTTTACATTGTACAGTAACTTGCAACTCTCATATTATATTTCATCAACAGGACACTCAACAACTAATAAGTATCAAGGAATAAATTAAATAATGAATAACTATAGACAATCTTACCAGGCTTTCTGCATTTTGTTAATTTAATCTTTACTGGATGTTGAAGATACCCAATAGAAAATAGAAGTGACAGTGTTTGCTGAATCTGATTTTTTCCATTTTAATCAGTAATCTTAGTAGTTGTTGCTTAAGTTCCATTGAAATGAAAATAAAGTACATAACTTTTTATCAAAGTTATATCAGAAAGATTTGTAGGTTACATAAAAAATATTCTAAATAGAATATATGAAATTAGTCTTTAAGACTTTATTTTTCTCAGAAATTTCATGTCCTCTAAATTATACAGCTCTTAAAAAGCAATGAAAAAACAGGTGATTTTAAATATTAATTTTGGTAATCTATTTAAATTATACTTTAAAAAATTTGGATGTTAACTAATCATTTTATTGTAATGCATCATTCTGTAATCATCCTATCTAATAAAAGAGTAATATGCAAATTAATCCAACCAAGATGGCTATGGCCACAGAGGGAGCAGGAGGCTTGGGTTTCTTCGGCAGTGGAGGAAGCCATGCTTTCCACACACCCAGGCAGGCCCAGGCCTCCACTCAAGGCTACAAAGTTTCAATTATATAAGATAAATAAATCTCAACAAAAATGGCAGCAGCCACGGAGCTGGACAGAGGCTTTGTTTGTCCTGGCGATGGAGGAAGCCAAGTTTTCTGCACACCCTGGCTGGCCTAGGCCTCTGCTCAAGGCTACAAAGTTTCAATTATAGAACACTAGAGGACCAGTGCATGAAAATCCATGAACTTGAGAGGGGGTCCCTCAGCCCAGCCTGCACCCTCTCATAATCCAAGAGCCCTCAGGGGTAGGAGGCAACCTGGTGATCAGGGGAAGTTGATGCACCCATCACACCTCTGCTGTTGCCACTGAAAGCAGTGCAAGACTCAGCCTGCCCTGGTTACCTGAGCCTCGGGTGCCCTGTGGGACTCTGCTGGCAGGCACACAGAACTGCAGGGCCTGATTAGGCCATGCATCTGCTGCCCAGTTTGGCTACGGGGACTGTGCGCCACAATATTGTGGCTGTGTGTGCCGCCATCTTTGAGGGCATGGCAGTCAATTAGCATATTCTCCCCTTATTGGCTGTGGTGCCACCATCTTTGAGGGTGTGGCACTTCAGTTAGCATATTACCTCCTTTTTGGCTTTGGGCATTGCCAACTTTGTGGTGCCATGAGTGTCAATTAGTATATTCCCTCTTTCTTAGATAGGATAAATAAATCCTAGATCCCAGGCCTATGCTTGGGTTTCCAGGGGATGTGTCCCACCTGCAAACCACCAAACACCCCTGGCCCATGCCACAACATCCCCCAAGGAAACCCCCACTCTACTCTGAGACACATTTCAGAGCAAACCAGCGGGCCCCCACCTATGCACCAGGCCTCTATCCTACTTAATAAGAGGAATATGCAAATTGAAAATCATTCCAACACACAGGATGACTGCCCCCATGTGGACACAAGATGGCTACCACAAGATGGCCAACAGGGGAGGGCAGTTGGGAGAAACCAGGCCTACAGAGGAGGGAATTTGAGGGCAATCAAGCCTACAGGGGAGGGCAGTTAGGGCTGAGCAGGCCAACAGAGGAAAGAAGTTGAGGGTGAATGCGCCTTCAGGGAAGGGCAGTTGGGGGGAACCCAAGTCTCCAGGGGAGAGTAGTTGAGGGGGAACAGGCCTGCAGGGGAGGGCAGTTAGGAGCATTCATGCTGATAGGGGAGCAGTTAGGCTTCAATCAGGCTATTAGGGGAGTGGTTAGGGGGTGATAAGGCTGGCAGGCAGAAGCTCATAGGGGCAATCAGGAAGGCAGGCAGGTGAGCAATTGGGAGCCAGCAGTCCTGGATTGTGAGAGGGATGTCTGGACATCCCTCAAGTGGTTCCAGATTGGAGAGGGTGTAGGCTTGGCTAACAGAAACACACCCCCATGCACGATTTCATGCGCTGGTCTCTAGTTATTCATAAAATCTCCTTTCCACAGACTATATCAGATCCTCTATTTTAGGACATACAATAGGTTTGCTTATTACAAGTTCTAATTCAGACACTGAAATTAACTGGCTATGTGGCCTTTTAACCTTATTGTGTCTTCTTTTCTTTAGCTATAAAATGAGGGAATTATACTGATATGTTAATGCCCCTGCTAGAATCATTATTTTGTAACTTTTATAATCCAGAAATGTACATGTTAAGGTGTTGACTTTTATAAAGTTTTTAAATTTGAACCTCTAAGAGTCCTTAATGCCATCTTGTCCAACTACCTCATTATGCAAATTAGAGAACTGTTATTTAGTCCTTTTAAACAATAACCTAATGTCCTAAACCAAGATTTGATGTTTATCTTGTAGTAAGCCAGATCAGTATCAATATTGATAAGCAGCCACCTTTTGCAATCAATAAAGCAATTTGTTAAAGAATAAACATGTATAAAATTTAAATATGATGCATTCCTCAAGGGTAATGTTAATTTGGGGGGATTTTTTTCAAATCTTTTTAAATGCAATTTTCAATTGTAATTGACATCCAATATTGTATTTGTTTTAGGAATACAACATAGTGATTAGACATTTGCATACCTTTGAAGTGATCACCCACTATATTATGTCACTTATACCTGGAATCTAAGATAAATAAACGAACAAACAAAAGAGAAACAAATTCATAGGTACAGAGAACAAATTGAGAATGCTGTTTTACTATTTCCATACTGGCAATATATTTTTATATGCATGATAAGGTCTTATATTAAAAATAAAAAGGTTTTTATTTGGAATCTTCTAGATTTATAAAGACAATTTGAACAATATAGACAGCAGCTTTCCAAAATTACTATTAGTTTTAACCAGTAAAGTTTTATAAGGAAATGGCAATCATGCAAAATGTTAATGATCACTATATAAGGAAAGCTAGCTAATATTTACTACTGTTATCTACATAGACATGTATCATTTATTTATTTAATGTGTGTACTATTTACAAAACAATTGGGATTATAATAAATTATTTATGGTAAATTTCATCTGAATATTTTTTTAAAAGATGTAAACAGAATATCAAGGAGGTAAACATGGAAAAACGATGTAAATATACCCCTCATCTAATCTGCTAAAAACTAGACTATTCTTGAATTTCTGCCATTCTACACTACTTCAATTTTCTGGAAGAAAGACCCTATCTAATAAAATAGTAATATGCAAATTAACCATAATTCTGCTATACCCACAAGCCACGCCCACCAGCCAATCAGAAGCGAGTATGCAATTTAACCCAACCAAGATAGCTGTGGCCACTGAGAGAACAGGATGCTTGGATTTCCTTGGCAATGGAGGAAGCAAAGCTTTCCTCAAGCCGTGTCCACCCCACGTCTCCCCTCAAGGCTACAAAGTTTCAATTATAGAAGATAAATAAATCCCAGATACCAGGGCCTCCACTTGGGTGGTTGGGAGGTGTGGCCACTCACCCAGGCCTCCCCACGCCCCAAGGAAACCCCCACCCTGATCCAGAACACCATTCATGGCAAACCAGCTGGCCCAGATCCATGCACCAGCCCTCTATCCTAGCTAATAAAAGAGTAACATGCAAATTGATCAGCACACCAACACACAAGATGGCTACCCCCATATGTGGCCAAAGATCCTTCCCCCTTGAGGACACAAGATGGCCACCATAAGATGGCCAGCAGAGGAGGGCAGTTGGGAGGAACCAGGCCTGCAAGGCAGGGCAGTTGTGGGCTATCAGGCCAGCAGAGGAGGGAAGTTGGGGATAACCAGGCCTGCAAGGTAGGACATTTAGAGGCAAACAGATTGGCAGGGGAGCAGTTAGGCATCAATCAGGCTATCAGGGAGAGGTTATGGGATGATCATGCTGGCAGGCAGAAGAGGTTAGGGCCAATCAGGAAAGCAGGCAAGCAAACAGTTGGGAGCCAGCAGTCCTGAATTGTGAGAGGGATGTCCCAGATTGGAGAGGGTACAGGTTGGTCTGTGGGACAACCAAGACCAACTGCACAAATTTCATGCACCAAGTCTCCAGTGAGGTTATAATTAACAATGAACTGATCTTGATATACTCAAGACTACTGAGTTAATATTATGCCATATAGTAAAAATGTTTGGAATAAACTTTATACTCGGTTTTTATGGAGAATGATTAGAACTGGAGATGAAATGAGGATAATTTTAGGAACAAAAAGAAGCCGCACTCTTTTCAAACTTTTAGGAAGATTGTTTGCTTCCATTAATAATAAATTTATGACATGCAATGTAATTCTCTGGATTGAGAAAGTTATGCTGAAATTTTAATACATATTTTTTGAGAAAAGTAATTTTTCATCTTAAAAAATCATTGTTTTCATAGCACAAAATTAACTAAGCATGTAAAAACATTTTTTATTGAATTTAGAATATCCCACTTCTGTTCCTTAGCACATCAGTATTATATTACAAGGCTCACTAACGCAATATAGGTTTTGTTTGTTTGTTTAGTTTATTGATTGATTTCTTTATTTTTCAATCTAATTATTGATGTGAAATTGGTTAATAAAATTACATAGGCTTCCAGTGTACAATTCTATAATATGTCACCTGTATATTGTATTGTGTGTCCATCATCCTAAATCAAGTCCCCTTCCATTACCATTTATCCCCCCTTTACCCTCTTTTAACTCCTTGCCTCTTTCCCTCTGGTAATGACCATATTGTTGTCTGTGTCTATGAGATTTTTTTTTTCTTAATTCATTCACCTGATACATTTTTCCAGAGCTGGAATAAGATTGTTTCCTTTAGATCTATGTATGAAAATTAATCCAAAACTTAGCTGCACATTTTTTTTCCTATTTGAAACATCTATTCAACTACACACTGCCTATAGCCTTAAAGTTGTGTCCTCATAATATATAAGTACTTCTTGAGTTTGATTGGAAGGATGAGCCACTTTTACAGAGGCATATACATGTTAAGTCTTTTAAAGAATACAACAAATTAATATCTTTATTTATGACTAAAGTTTAAAATATTAAATTAAAATTAAAAAAAAGGAATTCAGGGATACATTTCTTTATTAAGACTCTAGTTACAGTTAGAAGGATGCAGTATTCATCAGAGTATTTTTGAAATATGAATACAACAAGGGCCTTGGCAATTGTTGGATTATCATGTCTTATATTCACTTATTTGTTTTTTCTCCAGAGATACTTTTCTGTAAAAGACAGTTTTACTAGTTCAGAGCCACTGCAAACATTGCAATACTAATGGCTTTTAATGTTTAGTTCCCATTCTCAGGATTGATTCTTAATTGAATTTGACAGAAGATGATATTCTGAAAAACACCATCCAAATATCTGTTTTTATTCAAGTAGAAAATTAGAGTTTCAGGATTA